AAATCCTAGAGTCCACAAGAAAACTTCTAGACCTAAAAGAGGGATTTAACAAAGTTTCAGTGTATAAGGTCAACAAACAAAAAAACAGTTGGGTTTCTATACATCAGCAATGAAAAATATGAAAGAGAAATAATTAGGGAACAATTCCATTTTCAATAGCCGACTAAGAGAATATAATACCTAGGAATAAATCTAACCAGGGACATGAAGGATTTATACAATTAAAACTATAAAACACTGCTGAAAGAGATTAAAGAAGATGTAAATAAATGGAAAGATGTTCTATGTTCCTGGCTTAGAAGGCTTAATATTGTTATGATGCCAATAGTACCCAAAGCAATGAATAGATCAATGCAATCCTGATCAAAATTTCAACAGCCTTCTTTACAGAAATATAAAAACCAATCCTCAACTTTATGGAATGGCAAGAGGCCCCAAATAGCTAAAACAAAGTTGAAAGAGAAGAACAGAGTAAGAGGACTCACATTTTCTGATTTTAAACCATACTATGTAGGTACTATAATCAAAATAGGTTGGTATTGCTTTACCAATAAACATATAGACCAATGAAATAGAATTGAGTCCAGAAATAAACCCATCTATCTATGGTCAACTTATTTTTGACAAGGGTATACATTCATTTGATGGGGAAAGAAGAGTCTCTTCAACGGCACTGGGAAAACTGGGTTACACATTCAGAAAAATGAAAGAAGATCCATGCATCACACCATACACAAAACCAAATTCAAAATGGATTAAAGACTTACATGTGCTAACTAAAACATAAAATGTTTGGAAGAACAAGGAGGAGCAGTGCTGTCAAGCCTAGCTTTCTTTCAACAATGGATTATCTCATATAACAAAAGCACAAACAGCAAAAGTAAAATAAATAAGTGGAAACTCATGACAATTAAAGTTTTCTGTTTATCAAAATGCTTTACCAAAAAAGTGAAAAGGCAAGCTTTATACTGGGAGGATATCTTAAGAAACCCTCTATCTGATATGGTTGTTAAGGTTGTGTGTCAACTTGGCTGGGCCTGGTTTTGAGTGGCTGGGCAGCTGGATGTATTTATTCCCCATGATGAGACTGGTAATCAACTCCATTGTGAAATCTACTGTGAGCAGCTGAGTAGCTGCCGTAGAATGTGGTCTGCCTCCAATATATAAGGAAAAGCTTTCAGAAAGGTCTCTGAGCTTGTTGGCACATTTGGATCCTGCATTTGGGCAAGTCATCAGTGAGTGGCCTGTCATGTTGTTTGCCAGTCTTGTGATTGGTTTTGGACTTGAACTGGTGGGCTGTAGTGTTGCTTGATAATTTTGGGACTGTGCTATTTTACTTGTCGGCCCTGGCTTTGTCAGCCTCAGCAGCCAGGAGCTGCCTGTGTTGAGATACCTCCAGCTCCAGTGGGCTGGGAGCAAGAGGCAGAGCTGAAGTCCAAGGTTGAGGGGCCTTCACCCAGCCCCTAGAGCTGGCACTTTGAAATCAGCCTTCTAGCCTCTTAATCCATAAGACAATAAATCCCTGTTTGTTCAAGCCATACAGTTGTGGCATTTCTGTTTCAGCAGCACTAGATAACCAAAACATCCAAGAAGAATCTAATAACCAAAGTATATGTAAAACTTTGATAACAACAAAGACCAATGACCCAATCAAAAAACAGGCAGAAGACTTGAATAGACATTTCACCAAAAAGGACATTCAAATGGGCACCAAACACATGAAAAGATGCTCAGTGTCATTAGCCATCAGAGAGATGCAAACCAAAACTACAATGTAACATCATTTCACTACCACTGGGATGGCTAAGAATGTTTCAAAAAAGAATAATAAGAAGAAATGTTGGCAAGGATGTGGATAAATTGGAATTCTAATCAATTGCTGGTGGGAATGCAAAATATTACAGCCACTATGGAAAACAGTGTGGCAATTCCTCAAAAAACTAAAAATAGAACTACCATGTGACCCAATAATTCCACTCCTAGGTATATACCCAAAAGACACCAAAGTACAGACTCAAACAGAGACTGTACACCAATGTTCATTGCATCACTATTCACTATTGCCAAAAGATGGAAACAACCTAAATGCCCATCAAAAGATGAATGGATAAACAAAATGTGGTGCATACTACTCAGCTCGTAGGAGAAATGAAATCTTGATACAAGCTACAATATGGATGAAGCCAGAAGACATTTTGTTGAATGAAATAAGCCAATCACGAAAGGTAAAATATTGTATGACTTCACTTATATAAAAAGATAACAAAAGGCAAACGTACAGAGATAAAAAGTTATTAGTGGTTTTGAGGGGCAGGCAGGAGGGGAAGAGGGCATTGATTAAAGGTAGGTTGTACAACTGATTATTGCAATAGCTGTCAATAAGTTGTACACTTGTAAAAAGTTGAATTGGCAACAGTAGTGTGATACATATATTTGCAACAACAAAAGAGTAGCTGCTGAGGCTGCTTATGTACAACCAAATATCTCATTTAGTTCCTGGGTTTGGAGGTTTAAGATCATGGTTTCATGAGACGTTCCAGTTAATTGGCTTAGTAAAGTGTTTAGTGCTTCTGTTCTACCTACTAGTTCATTGTGTAATGCCTAGGATCTTAAATGCTTGAAAGTGCCAGTCCAAGACACAGCAACTTGTCTCCAGCCACCTGGAGCAACAGAAGAAGAAGGAGAATCAGGAATAGGAGGAGGATATGGAATGTGCAGCTAATTGCTTCCATGAATAACTATCTCTTTTGACACGAGACCAAAAGTGGATGGTGATTGGCTACCATAACTGAACATTTTGATGAAAGATTCCATAGAAGAATCTGGATCAAAAGGAGTGAAATGCAGAACAGAATTTCAAATGATCATGAACTTTAGACTTTCTGGAGCCATGAAGGGTAGATGAACCCCTGAAACTACTGCCCTGAGATAATCTTTAAACCGTAAACCAGAAATGTCCCCTGAAGAAAATAAATGGAAAACTTAACAAT